GAAATTGCATGTTTGATTGCGAGAAGACAAAAAAAATGATTAAACAGTAAACACTGTTATATACATGAAAAACATGGCCTAACCACTAGCTACAAACTAACATTGGAGAATCTCAGGTACTACCCCTAAGGTTTCCCAAATTATCCTTAGGACGACAATTTTTTGCACCTTTTTTTAAATGTGTTCTCAAAGTTTAAAAATTCTATCATGCATACCCATTTGTCCGAACTCCGTTATGTTGCCATTAGTGTTAGAGAGGTCAAATGGTAACTTTGGTTTTGTAAGAAAGTCTTTTGAATTTCCTTTTTTTTTTTTAAATTCCAATTTTAAGACTCGACTCTTAGATAGGAAGGATGAATACAAATTTCAAAATCATATTTCAAGAGGAGTAATAAGGTAATTTACTCTTATAATCCTAACAACAATATAATAGACTTAGGGCAAAGCAGTATCATTGATAAAGTTTTCTAATTTAGAGGATTCATTTATAAGGGAAAGGGGTATCAGTGATATAGTTTTCAAACTCTGAAGGTCAATTTAATAAAAAAAATGTAAAAGTTATTATCTAAGCGCCAATTCTAAAAACTTAAGGCTAGTGTTTGATATTTTCCAACAAAACTCGCCCACGCCTGCTTCCTGAATTTATTCAAGATGTTTTGTGGTCCTTATTTTTTTTTACTTCCTAATTAATATTCTAAAAACTTCCCCATTTTCTCCTATAAATACCCCCTATTTTTCTTCACTTGCATAAAGCCATAAACTCCCCCAGCAATTACTATTAATTCCGTTGGTCATCTCAAATTTCTCTTTCTTTTGTACTGACTTTCCCTGTAGCCAAATCTCCAATTTTCAATCTAATCATGTTGAGTTACATAATTTCACTCATTACCTATTTGAGATGGGCATGTGAGTTCTTGTTTCAGCACTCTTTCTTCAGCCATCGCAACCTCGAAGTGCCGGAAATCTACAAAGAACAAAGCATGGTCGTTCGCTACCACAGGTTGAATAGTAACGAAGGTGAAGAAGAATGTGCAGTGTCTTTGCAAGATTTAAGGAGGAGAAGAAATAAGAGAGTTGAGATGTGATCATCGGTTTCATAAAGTTTGTTTGGATAGATGGGTTGCATATAACCGTGTAACTTGCCCACTTTGCTGTGATTCTCCGGCATGCAAATTCTGACGTTCAAGAATTTCAGCTGTGTCACTTCTAGTGAACGAGATTCATGGTGTTCAAGCTAAAGGACAATACTATATTTACAATTCAGTCTCATAAATTTTTTTTTTATAAACTCGACGTGATAGTTTGTAATTGGTTTCAACTGAATTTTTTCACTTGATTCATTATGAACTGACCAATTATGAGCTACCACGTCAGAGTTGTGAAAGAAAGTTTATGAAATTTGATTGTGAGACAATGTTTATTATAAGATAAATGTCAATTTTGGTCGATTTATGTACCTTCTTTCTATCACAATAACATCTTGTACAAGTCAGATCAACATCTATGAACAGTATTAGTATAGTTTTGTCAATTTGCTCAGTGGAGTAGGGCATGATGAATAATAAATTGACCAAACACTAAATAGAGGACTTTTTAATACTTGCTTAAAGCCTTAAACCCTCCCCCAAAAATGCAGGAGACAAATTATGGGATTCTTTCTAATCCTCTCGTATGGAAAATTTTTTCCGCTCAAATATATAAGTTTTTTTTTTTTTTTCTTAAAGAGAAAATATTCTTTAAAAGTGTATAATTTGAGTTTTTGAATAACGAATTTCATCTTCTCCCTCTTGTTTCCCTCTATGTTCTACGTCCCTAGTATTGTTTTTTACTCTACAATTTACTGATGAGTAGATAGTTTTCATAAGAAATATTCATTATCTTTCCTTTTTAAATGATAAAATACAAGTTTTTAGTTGGTAGCTATTGCAAAAGAATAATACAATTAATGAATAGACAAAAATCCTGACTAAATTAGATTAAAATAGAGAGGATACAATTTTTTCTTACCAAATTGTTCTCACTTTCCGTTTACATCTTAAATAGAGAGCATAAGAAAACGATGTATTTAATAGTTTTAAAAAATGGTTATGAGGTTTGAAATTTTATAATCTCTTAAAACAAATAAAATTAGCCTTTGTTATGTGTATAGGTATATATATTTTTATTTTATTATAATTATGAATTGTATTTTTGGTTGGATAATATTATTTAAAATCGATTACTGTTTGACTATTGAAGCCATTCAATAATTAAGATAGGGGATTAGGTTACCCTGAAACAGTAGTAAACCTTACAAGTATGATATAATTCTTAGTTTATAAAATGAAAATTCATATAATAAACTTAGTTAACCTTATGTGTATAGGAAAATGTTTAAAATAAGGAGTTTATTTAAATGAATATAAAATAAGAAAAAGGGTGAATGAAAGTAAAGATAGGTTTAACACATGTTAAACCTGCCAATTAATCAAAGGGCACCCCTATTTTAAAGGAGTTTTTAAAGAAATTAAAAATAAAAGAGGCCCACATGTATTTTATTTAAAAATTTAGAAAATAGTTTAAAATATTTAATAATTTAATTATAAATTAATTATGCGTCTCTTCATAAGCTTTTATCCTGATTTTTACATTTAAAAACTGTGATATTGGATCATAGGGATACATTATTTTTATATAATCATATAATATATATTAAAATAAAATATTTAAGACATTATTTATAAATATTTAGGAAACCTGATATTGGATCATAGGGATACAGTATTCAGATGACAAACCTGATCTGGTCCAACTTTATCATAACCAACAGGTGGTAACATATACACTTCTTCATCAAGATAACCATGCAAAAATGCATTATTAATGTCAAGCTGACGAATAGGCCAGAATTTAGCAGTAGCCACAACAAGAAAAATTCGTACAATAACTAATTTTGCCACAATGGAAAAATTATCAACATAGTCAACACCTTCTACTTGGTTGTAACCCTTGACAACTAATTGGGCTTTATACCTGTCAACTGAACCATCTTGATTAAGTTTAATCTTATAAACCCATCGTGAACCAATGGCTTTCTTTCCTGCAGGTAAAGAGGTTAGCTTGCATGTATGATTGGCTTTTAAAGCCTTAAGCTCATGTTGCATGGCCTGTACCCACTAATCATTAAGTCAAGCTTGATTGTAAGAAGCAGGCTCTTGGACATTAGATACATTTGCCAAGAAGGACATATATTCTGAAGTAAAAAGAGGTGACTGTACATAAGGAAATGTAGGAGGTATATGTGGTGAAGAGACACCAAGCTGAGCAGCAATGGTAGTGGAAGTTGATGGACAAGTAAGAACATTAGAGACAAATTCTACTAACCAAGTAGGTGGTTTGGATGTTCAGGTACTGCATCGTATAGGAGGAGGTATAATTGGTGAGGAGTGAGGTGATGAAGGTGACAATAGGGGTAAAGGTAATCTGTATGATTAGGAGGAGTATAGTGATGATTTTCAGTGATAGGAATTTGAGGTAAAGATACAGTTGTTGAAGTAGGACTATTTTGTTTAAAAGGAAAAGAATGCTCATGAAAAATGACATCCCTAGACATAAACACTGTTTTAGACTGAATATCAAACATTTTATAGGCTTTATGACCACTATTATACCCTAGGAAAACACATTTATAAACTCTAGGGGCAAACTTATCTTTATGAGGATGTGTGTTGGTAGCAAAACATAAGCATCCAAATGTTCTAAGGAAAAGGTAATCTGGAGGTTTACGGAAAAGTGTTTCATAAAGGGTTTTCCATTGGAGGACAAGAGTGGGTAATCTATTAATAATATAAGTGGCTGCGAGTATGGCTTCCCTTCAAAAATATTTAGGGAGAGTTGATTGAAACATAAGGGATCTAGCTACTTGAAGCAAATGTTTATGTTTCCTTTCAACTAATCCATTTTGCTGGGGTGTATAAGTGCATCTTTGATTTAAAATGCCATGTTCAAGGAAAAGAATCTGACAATCTTTACTAAGAAATTCAGTTCCACTATCAGTTTGGATTTTTTTAATGGACAGGGAGAACTGATTTTTAATCATTCTAAAAAATGTAGTCAATGTATGTACTACTTGACTCTTATGATTTAAAAGAAAAGTCCAAGTAGCTCTACTGAAATCATCAACTATAGTTAAAAAATAATGTGCCCCTGTAAGTGTAGCTAATTTATAAGGTCCCCAAATGTCAATATGAATCAATTCAAAAGCTGTGTGAGAGTGAGTTGTGCTAGGATGGAAAGGTAATGGATGTTGTTTTGACAAAGGACATACATCACAGATAAAGGTTGCTAGATCAGAATGTTTGACAACATAAATTTTATTAAGAATATCATGTGATAGATGGCCTAATCTTTGATGCCACAAAGTTGATGATGGTACATTATTAGTGACAAAACAAAAGGTGTTACAAGCATGTGTAGTAGCAGGTAATTCAGACCTAGAAACAAACTATGAAGAAAAAGTTTTAATAATTTCTACTGTAAAAGAGGATTTATCTAGAATGTATAATCTTCCCACTAACTTGCCAACTGCCAATACTGCCTCAATCTGCAAGTCTTGTAAGAGATAGTGAGTAGGGTAAAAAAACAAACTTGATGAGTGCAGACTCTAAAAGTTTATTTACTGAAAGTAAGTTGAACTTAAAATTTGGAATATGTAAAACCTCATTAAGTGTTAAGGCTTGCTGCAAAACGACTTTTCCTATGTGTTGGACAAAATTAATTGATCCATCAGGTAAGTATACAGGTGTAGGTTTATGAATTGAATTATAGGTTTTAAACAAGGCAAGATCATTACACATATGACTCGAGGCTCCTGTATCTATAATCCAAGATCCTGAACCTAAAAATTCAATCGAACTTATTGCTTGTGTTAGACCAATACCTGCAAAGTCAACGAAATTAGCAAAATTGATTGTAGAGCCATCAGCTGATGCCTTTCCTTTCATAAGCTTGGCCAACTCTTGCTAGATTAATTCTGATATTGTTGTTCCCCACTCAGTTCCAGTATTGCCAAGTTCTTTTTCAGCTTCCAGAGGTGTATCAGTCATATTTGCATAAGTCTTGTGTTGAGTCTTTCCCTTTTGTTCCTTCAAATCTTTGTACCAATCTGGATAACCATGAAGCTTAAAACATGTCTCCTTCGTATGACCATTGTTATTGCAGAAATCACAATGTCTCTCTAACTTCTTAATCGTATCCTTCCTCTTGTATCCTGTCTTGCCATTAGCTTCTTTCTTAACAACCTGTGCTTTTGCAAACATAGGACTATTTTCAAGATTATCTACAAATGCTACATGTACCTCTCTCTGTTTTTCAACTCCCAAGATCATTGAGTATGCCTTGTTAATAGTGTGTAAGGGATCCATAACCAGAATCTGATTTCGAACATGATCAAAGCTATCATTCAATCCCATCTGAAATTGCATCAAACGATTAAAAGAAGTTATTTCTGCAACCGATTTAGCTGCTCCACAACTACACTGTGGTATAGGCATCAAACATGTCAATTCATCCAATAACTTCTTTAGTTTTTGTAGTATTGTAATATTGGCATATTTCCCTGACTAATTGAACTGATATCCCTTTGGATTTGATATAACAAAGGTCCATTACATTCACCGAACCTTTCTTCCAATTGCTTCCACAAATCTTTTGCCGAAGTTGTATACAGGAAAGCTTCAACTATCTCTCTCGAAATTGAATTCAAAATCCAAGAAGTAACCATGCAATCTACCCTCCTCCCTTGATCAAATTCTGGAGAACTTTCATCAGGCATTTTACATTGTCCATTAATAAACCCTAACTTCACTTTGGCTCCTAATGCGAGTTTCATCAAACGACTCCAAGACAAGTAGTTCTTATCCATTAGTGGAGTTGAGACAAGGATCATACCTGGATGATCAGAGTTTTGCAGATAAAGAAAATCTCCACTTCGTATATTGTCTGTTGTTCGTATTGAATCAGGTTCCATTACTGCTTCACTTCGAAGATTTGAGCTCCTTATATCAGGTTCCATGTTAACTAGAAGCAATAGGATGTCACAAAACCAGAAAAGTAATGATTTCGTGAAGGATTTATCGCTCTGATACCATGAACAAAGTAACGAAAGTTTATAGAGTAAAAGATGAACAGAGTAAAGTCGTATCTGCTGTTATTTAGTAAAGTGAAAGGTTGTTGTATGTATACAAGGAGCTGTAGCTAACTAAAACAAAACTACTCTAATAAACTAGTTGCTTTACAGCTCAGCATCTAACTAATGTAACTGAATAATACAATAACAGTAAAATAACTTATTGGTATTTTATTCTGTACAGGATCCATCCTAACCCAACCCGAATGGGACGGGGAATCCCCAAAAAAGAGGGGAGTGGGGTCAAGGATGGTCTACTAAAATTCTGTGACCCTAAGGACGGGCCGGGGAAGGGATTATGCAATCCCTGCCCCACCTCGCCCTGTCAATCCCACCCCATGCAACCCCGCCCTACCGTGCATATTGTTCTTTTATTAAGAATTTTATGTTTTTATTTTCTTTTTCAAGATTTTAGATAAAGTTAGGATCCCATGATTTAAGAATCATGGTTTTAAATAATGTATCTAAATTTATAATATTTACTTTTATAATACTTTTTAATAGTTGTATTAAATTTATAGAAAAAATAATTTAAATGAGGGAGTCTAATAATTAAATATATATATTATTATTTTGTGAATTTAACAAAATATCAATACATGCCCCAAAAATAAATTAGATTAGATTATTACAAAACCGATATAGATTTTACACAATTGTTTAACGTTAACGACTTACAAATTATACAAATTCAATTATCTTTTTAATTAATTAATTGATCAATTAATTATAATGTTAAACTTAATCAATGTCGGGAACTTAGGTTAATGAAATTTGTCCCTTTTACAAATGAACTAATTTTATTAGTTGTAGTGGAGAAAGTGTTTTATAAATTAATTAATTAATTTACCTAGTAATAATTATGTTAAGATTGAATATAGTTATATTAATTCTATGAAAAATTAATTAATTAACAACGCTAACTAAGCCTAAGTTTGCATATAATTAAATAATTAATCAATTTACCTAATAAATTATGTTAAGATTTAACATAGTTATATTAATTTTATGAAAAATTAATTAGTTAACAGGGCTAACTAAGTCTGAGCATCCATACAATTAAATAATTAATCAATTTACCTAGTAAATTAAGTTAAGATTGAATATAATTATATTAATTTTATGAAAAATTAATTAATTAACAGGGCTGACTAAGCCTCTCCACACAATTGAATAATTAATCAATTTACCTAGTAAATTATGTTAAGATTGAATATAATTATAATAATTTTTATGAAACAATTAATAAATTAATAGGGCTAACTAAGCATAAGCGTCCATACAATTGAATAATTAATCAATTTACCTAATAAATTATGTTAAGATTGAATATAATTATATTAATTCTATGAAAAATTAATTGATAAAGCCTAAGCTAGCATACAATTGATTTATAGTAAAAAATTTGGTAGAATATGCCAAAAGAGTTAGATGTTACACCAACATCCTTGATTAATATTCAATTCATAGAAAAATATGCATATAAAAATGAGCTTTATTTATGGTGGGTAAAATGCTATTTATAGCAAAACAAAAAAAAAAAAAAATACTAATTAAGAAACAAAATGACATCAAAATTAATTCCATTTGATTGTATTAGTATTTTTAGGATCATTATTGATCACAGCGAGGGAATTTTCCCGCGAAAATCCCATACATTGGGATGGGGACGGGAGTGAATCCATCCCCGCGGGCCAAGGTTAGGGATGGGAATTATCCCCACCTTTGAGGACGGACCACGGATGGGAGTGGAAGTTGATTGGTGAAGAAGTCTGCTGAATCTTGATTCGTGGAAAAGTCTACTGAGTATTGATAGGTGGAGATGACATCAGCATATCATTTAGGCATAACAATACCCTTGCGAATGTAAAATGAAAAATAATCGTTAAAAAAAATGAATTGCTAATTGAAAAATGAATGAGATGTAATTTTCCTGTTTGGTACTACTTACTCCTATATTGCGGAGGATCTGTGGAAAAGTCTGCTAAATGTATTGTGTGTAGGTGTTTAAAAGAGATTATTTACACCCAGGTGGAACTGCAGGACAGCAGATAGAATAATCGAAGTTTCCGTGTATTACAATTAGTGGCCTAATTCTATTCAAGATGCATGAAGAAGACTTTTTATGGATCAAGTTATTGTTTTCATACATCATCAAATACATGAGAAAAAGCAAAGAGTAAGGTGCTCATGAGGCATCAAGGGTATTATTCCTAAATAACTGTGGAAACTAATTCCCTGCTTTGTTGAATATTTTAGCATGTTGCTGAGCTGGGAATCAGACAATTTCTAATATCTTTTGCGCATTTGTAGATTCAAGCTCTCTCTATATATATGTGTGTGTTTTTCTTCCTTCATTGCTCTGATATTCGCAATTCTGATTGCATTGTCACCTTCTGTTCAAAGAATTTTGCCCGTTGACATAAATCCCCTCTCGAATTTTTTATTTCTAGTTTGCCTATTGCAAGTCTTTTATTGTTCTAATAGATCTCAATAGGTTGGTATGATTTGTTTTTGGTTTCCGGCTATGGAAAACAACGAGAATGTATTATATTACTGTATACTTATTTGTGTATATATCTTGTAGTCTCGTTTAATTTGTAGTAATAATTAAGCACTATAGCTTGGTCAATATTGGTATTGTTCCTTACTAATAGCACTGCGTTATCTGATTCCTCATTAAAAGAAGTTAGTAGAATTTTCTTGAAAGAGTGTGATTGGGAAGGAAGAAGCGAAATTGTTAGTCCACAAAAAATTGCCACCACTTACAAAGAAATGATAATGGTGGTGGTGATATTTTAGCTGAAGGATTCTTATTCTTTATCGGCATGCTTGTTAAGAGACGATACGGTATTGGTTCCACCAATTTATCCATCGTGGTTTTTCATGCTTCTGGAATATTAATAGTCTACGGAGCTGAAAGCATCCAAACCTGGATTAATTTCTGCCTCCATCTACTTGAACGAGTTCATTATGCGTTGTGGTAAGATGACAATCAAAATCTTCCAAAGTCCACTTATTAAGAACCACTTCCAATTTAATTAGAGAGACTGCAGAACGTAATTGAGTTCAAAATGAAAATGCTATTTTCATATTCAAACTACGGAAGAAACATTTTGCCTCCCTTACTGCAAAATATTTGTGGTTGTGACTATATATTTTTATATACTCATGTTTTGAAAGAACATGAAAGGTGGATATTAAGTTAATGTTAAACATTCTGATAATTGAATAAAGGTCAAATTATACATGGAGGGTAACAGAGTTTGCAGCCAACCAATCCATAAGAAAGTTAAAAACAACTCATTTCTTTATTCTTTGAAGATTGTAGAATAGATTTGGTTGTGAGTTGTGATTTGTGATTTGATTTGTCCAATTTATATTTAGATCTTGACCTGCATGTGACAGAAGTCACATGGATTGATATTCCCTACCAGGAAAAATCGGAATCAAAAGACTCACCACTGGCTTTGTATTAGTTGACGAATATGATTTTGCAAGACGCCAAGCATCTTTGAAGACACTTCTATTAATTTATAAGTTAATAAGGAAGAATGAATCTTTGAATTCTTCACAAGATAATCTTCTCTTATAAATAGCCCCTACGTGTTCTCTCTCTCTCTCTCTCTCTCTCTCTCTCTCTCTCTCTCTCTCTCTATATATATATATATATATATATATATATATATATATAAATCTTGCAAGCCCATGACCTTTCCTACTCATTAACGCTTTCATCACCCAGTCTCCATAAGGTTGGTTACTTCTCCACTCCTCTTGTCTCTTAACTAAATTATCAAAATCCAGAATAATATTCTTTTATCTTGTTTGTATATATGCCGGTTATGTTTTTGTGAAAGCTAGTTGCGTTAATGATGAGTTTGAAGAGATTGATGAAAACACTACTGTCTAAACTGAGAATTGTGGGGCCAGATAATGAAACCATATCGTAAGATTGATAAGACGGGGAGCATGAGGTTAGAAATAAGGCACAGGAAAGCTCAAAAGCTAATTGCTCAAACGCTCAGGAATGCTGATTCTAACACCCATTTCTTCTGAATGCCCACTTCTTAATATGTAAACTACTACATCTCTCTCTTCCCACCTGCCATTTTCTGTATTGGTTACATGTAATTTCTTTTTCGAAATTTTAAGATGAATGAAAAATGAAATCTATTTAAAAGAAATGGAATGTTTATGTAAGTTTGGGCCATAATCAACTTTTTAAATTTAAGTGGAATATTGTATCATTTTGAGCCTGTGTAGCTGAGTTTATGCAAATTAGCTTATAAGTAGTTAGTGCTTATAAGCTAATTTAAGCTTATAAACATTTGAAATTTTAAATAATTATATGTTTGGTTAATGTATTTATAAGTGATTGATAAGTAGTTGACACGTTTGGTAAAATGTGGTTTATAAGTATATTTTATTATTAAAACGACTAAAAATGATATTATTTTATTTTATCAATTAATAAATCGTACGATGGAATTTTAAAATTAAATAGAAATAATGTGGTAATATACTTGGTCAAATTAGCTTATAAACAGAATGCTTATAAACTGTTTAAAAAAAAAAAAATTTATCTCCCCCCAATTTATTTTTTTTAGCTTATAAGATCAATTTATAAACCCAAAAAAGTTATAAACAAACATGTCAGCTTAATTTTAAAGCTTATAAGCTAGTTTGACCAGCTTATAAGCTCGAATAAACACCTTATTTATCTTATATATTATTTTGGCTTTGTCTTGATACCATAGAATGATTACATTATATTGCCATAAATTTATTAGAGGATAATATGATAACTTTAAGGGGGCGTTTGGTTGGGGGTTATATGGGATTACTGGGGTAATATCATCTTATATTACTTAATTACTATGTTT